GGGCACAAATACTTTGATGGATTTCGAGCCCTCGGTTTATCGGGTGTAACTTCTTTGCCATCAAAACCATAAACATCAAAAATAATTTATATTTCCCGTAATTTGTATTTCATCTTCCTCCGACACCTAAATTAATAAGCAAAAATCTCTAATTAAAACATGTTTCAATCTACTAAATAAAAATTAAAATAAATGTAAGTATAACAACCTCTTTAGCTTCATTATCATTTACATCAAACACATCATCATCAAATTTGTACCTACTACAACCTGCATTCTCATTCCTCTCCTCCAACTCCTACATTAAAATTAACACATTATAGTTATTAACGAAAGACACATTAAAAATTAATTAATTAATTATTAAAATCGTAAATGTAATATCTATAATAACCTTGTCGTCTTCAATATCACCAAAAATATTTTCATTTGTATTATTTTTATTCATCACTTCATATTCTACAACCTAAATTTGCAAATATAAAATATGAACACAAATATTAATATATGTTAATAAATTAAAAAAAATAATGTAGCGTGTAACTAACCCGTTCATCAAATTTTGTTTGGAATACTGCAGGCTCCTCAAAACTGATGTTATTCCATAGATCTTCATTATTCACTTCTTCAACAAACACCTCTGTAGGTTCTCGGTTCGTAAACACATGTTGCTCCAGTGCATGTAGCCGTTTCAACACCTCCTCTAGGTTGGGTTTTCCACTACGCCCACCTCTACCATGAGAGCGACCACTAGACGACATACTAGACGAAGATTCGTCTTGTCTCCTAAAATGGTCCCGTACTGGGGATGGAACTGATTTACGTTCACTATATACATACTCTTGAAATAACATATAATAAAAAGATGTCATCTCATCATCACTCGGTGACATTTTATTTCTTGGTGGTTGTCCCTCCTAAAAAATTGAACATATTAAAAATGCATATAAATGTATAATAATGAATTTTATTAATAATTAAAAAAATTTATAAACCTGTATCTTTGAAAAAATCTTGTTCACATTAACCCATTTCAATTTTTTTGTCCCACTCCATCATTTCATCCGAGGCATGTCTCTATTTTTTCTCAATACAAATCCACAGGCACGAACAGCCGGAAGCATCTCATATATCCATATCTATAATTTTTACAATTATAGTAATAAAAGTTAAAATTAAAATAACTAACATAATAGTAAAACCATTTAAATATAAGTAAATTTTTATACCCTAATTGGAGCCGAAAATCCTGAGACGGTGTATTTTAAAGTTTGACGACGCTCAGGAAGTGATAAATATTTATTTATCTTGTTCCATGTATCATCAAGGTCATCATACGTAAAATCCCATAAATAACTACCCCAAACGAAACTAACAAAACAAAAAAAATTTAGTTATAATATAACTTAACATTAATAATATAAAAGTATCAAAGTAAACAAAAAATACCTGTTCCAAACATCCAAATTCTCAGCAAAAAAAAAAACAATCTTGTGGCACGCGATCATTTATTTCTTTTCCCAAAAAACCTTCACATAAAATGTAAATCAAACATACTCTAACTGCATCGGCATCGTCAACTTCTAAGAATGGTTCATTTAAAATAAAACTTTTTAGGTCACCGAACTATTTGTATGGTTCGGAAATAGCCGCTCACGCAATAAACATCTTTTTTTAGTACTAACTATTTTTTCTGACACTTTTTTCCCGATGTTTTTTGGATACTCCGCAAATTTCAACCCGGTTATCAAACAAAACTCTTCCGGCCCATATACCAATTTCGTATCGGCTACTCTAAAATATAACCGTTTTATTCCATCTGGAGATAAAACAGCGTCCGACCGTATCTGATGAAGGAACATTTTGTGGAACAACAATCCGTCCCCTTGTAAACGAGGGACGTCCAACAAGTAACCAAATACTGTATCTCTAAATATATCACGTCTCACACCATCTAACACTTCAAACACTTCTCATATGTTACACCCCGATCCCTTTAAGTTTACAATAGCTTTCACATCGAAATAATTAGAATTATGCTGCAAAAAACACAATAACATATTAGAAAACTAAACAACTATTTCATTTTAAAATATTTTATTATTAAATGCAATAATAACATAATAACAATGCAAATACAAATAAATAATAAATAATTTATATATTTACACTAAAAAACAATAACATACTATAACAATTTTTCAACTTAAACGGCAACTATATAAACAATTTTCCAAGTAATACGACAAATATACAAACGATTTTTATCTTTCTAATTATATCAAATAACATTTTCTAACCATATAAACAAACAATTTTTCAACTAAAACGACAACTAAACTAACAATTTTTCAACTTATACGACAAATATACAAACAATTTTTAAGTTTCAAATTATATAAAATAACATATTCTAACCAAACATATTGTAAACCACTAACCAAACATATTGTAAACATTATTCTAACAATTTATTTAACTAATAACTTAAAAAAATAAGCATATTCTAACCATTTTACTAAATGTACAACTACCCGATGCACACTCTACGCAGTCTCTACTTGTATATTTATACAACCACTAACAAAATAGCATTTCAACTTCAAGTTTAGTAATAACAAATATTAAAACTATCAAATACAACAAAATTACCCTATCACAAACAATATAATTTCTTTTTTTTACACTAACTAATACAATAAATAATAAAATAATAAACACATATACTAAATAAATGTTCATTAAAACATAAAAAGAGTTAAAATTTAACCATATTTTCGGGATTGTTGAAGTAATCGTCCATTTTCTTTAAGAAATCGTCAAAAGGAATCTCCGAGAGAGAGAGATTTTCTATATTGAAGAGTGAAAAATGAGGAAAAAAAAATCCTTTTATAGAATTTCCTGCGAAAAATCGCAGGTGAACAGTGAAAATCGCAGATGGACTTTTTCATCTGCGAATGTACAAGTACCTAAAGCACAACTGTGCTTTAGGTACTTGTACATTCGCAGATGGAAAAGTCAAATCGCAGATGGACCATTCCCATCTGCGATTTTCATGGCCATTTTTGCAATTTCGATTTTTTTGGTTATTTTCCGCAAAGTAATTAGGATAATTGGCTATTTTTGTCATTTTCTCTAATAATTATTATTATAACATACTAATAAAACTACTAGTTGTAATTACGAGTTATAATAGTAATAATATATTTTTAAATCACAATGATTTTTTCCAAAATTAGATACAAAATTTAATGCTTGTATTGACCATCGGAGAGTATATATATTTTATTTTTTATTGATCATTCAATATATATATATATATATATATATATATATATATATATATATATATATATATATATATATATATTTAACCTCTTTATTTAATCATATTTCTTTTATCCCTTTAATTAAAATATGTTGGTGATTTTGTATCATCAATATGTATTTAAGTGTAATGGATTGACTTGTTGACCAAAATTCAATTTTGATGAATATTAAACAAGTAAGGAAGGTGCGGAGTGCATATTTGTTTAAGTTTATTCAAGATTCAAAGTAGACTGTCATTTAGGGACGAAACCCCTAAACAAACGGGGGTCCGGGGGCAGCGCCCCTGGGAGCGGCGTCCAAGGGGCGGCAGCCCCTGGCGGGAGTCCGGGGGCAGCGCCCCTTAGAAATCTGAATTTTCTGTAAATGAACCCGGTTTTTGACTTCATTTTGACCTTTATTAAGAATCCGTTTTTAGTGACTGTTATTGGTTTTGACAGTTTGAGTAGTTTTTTGACAAAGAAAACTGTCTTGACAGTTTTCAGACAAATGAACTACTTAATCATTTTGGTCATCATTTTTCCTGGTACAACAACAAAAACAATCACGAAATTCATAAACAATATTTTATGTTCTTGCTTTCAATTCTGAGTCTTATCCGACTAAAGATTGGGAGTACCACCCAAATACTTTAATCTGAACAGTGAAACCACAATTCTCAGAATTTCCAAGCCTTTCTATACCCCCAAATCTCTTACAAAATATAGTTTTAAATACTTTTTATATTGTTACTAATTAACTATATATATTAAATATTTAATGAAAGTTCATTCCAAAATAACATCTTTTTTAAACGGATAAGACATACACCGAGTAACCCTGCTCCTAAATCTATATTTTTTGTCCACTACAAACCATCAACCATCAAGTAATGAATAAAAAAAACATTTATCCCCATAGAATGAAAATAAACCCTAGTCTATAACTAGTTCTGCAAGTTGTATGTTTGCAGTGACAAAGATTGGCTTCCTGCCTCTAAAATGCATATTGATTTTCCTCACAACCCTGAAAAGGTTTTCCAGCAAAGATGTTTGTAAAAGGATTCAACATCCAATCAATTCTCTTTTTCTAATTCCTATTCCGGGGTTTGTAACATCATTTAGTTTAAATAAATTACAAATTTTGTCCATGTGGTATGTCAAAAACTACGGATTGGGTCCCCTTGCGAGAAACTTTTAACATTTTTCATCCCCAAAAACGCATTTGTATTTTTTTTGTCCCTCAAAAACAAGTCGTCTTTTTTAAGTTAACCCTTGGTAAAATGACGATTTTCTAATTGTAGATAATGAAGTCCATTTGATAACTTGGCATTGCAAAATGGTGGACATTTGGTTGCAAATGACTTTGAAAGTAGTTTGTGAAACATATATGATATATGGTTTTTACTTGAGGTATATAAGGAAACGAAGATGATGCAACCAGTAACACAATATGAATCTGAAACTGTGACTAGTATTTTTTATTGAGGTATGCTAGGAAAATGACATAGAAGTTACTATATCTGGAAAAAAAATTAATTTATTTATAAATTTATGATTATAATTGCATTTTTCTCTAGTGATTGGATATGTAAAATGAAAAATTAAGCTAAAAAACAATTATATATACAAATGCTTACGACTTGTCAAACTCATATGTTATTATATCCAGAAAAAAAATGTTACCAAGTTAATTACATAGTCTTGTAATCATTCATATTGAATCAATTGGAGATCCTCGAAATTTCTATTGCTTAAAAAGCTATAACATTGTGCTTCAACATCAGTATCACTAATAACCTTCAAATAAACTAAAACAGTTGCAAATGAAGTTTTTTTACTCAGAATATCTACCAAGGGTATTGTTGTCTTTTTAACAACAATGTAGTGGAATCTATTACCAAAAGATTTCAAATTTTATTGTAAACACAAGTAACAAGTTTATGCGGTTTTGGGCTTGATGCGTTTCACCTGTGAGTATAGGAATACTCCGGCAAGGGCAATTCCAGTCCCTGAATGAAAATTGTGAGAGTGCTGGATTTTGGTTTATTAAGAAAAGATACAACAGAGGGGCATTATAGTATATTTTACCTATGGAGTTGATAAATGAGACCGGTGTGCGGAAGAAGAAGATAGAGGATACGATGACCACCACTCGCTTCACACAGTTGCCTACAGAATGTGTAACTGGAGATACTCTTTGCAGTATCATGTAAGCAACCTGTGTAAACAAATTTTATCAAAATCACAAATATTGAGCTATAAAGGAATTAGGTCAAACAGGTCAAAATTGAAGCCCACCCAAAGTATGGGTGTATTTGTATTGATTTAGATTACCTGCTGATAAGCATGGAAGCAGATTGAAGCAAGGAGAGACCTAATGTACACATGTTTGAGGTTTAGCCCCTGAAAATATAAAGAGGGAATAAATGGCTTGATGTTATTAACATAAACCACAGGGTAACAAATTAGTGCTTGGTTTTAAAATTATACTCACAGCGGATTGTAGGTAAGAAGGGGTAAATTTGACTCCTTCAACGAGTAAGGCAACAGGGGTAAACAAGAAGAAAGACATAACTGTTATGATTGAGAAGAGGGTAATGTTGTCCAATGGTTCCTGTTAAATTTGCAGGTTCTTAGGTATATTTGCATTTCATGATACCACATCAATAAACAGAAAGAATTATTAGCCAAGAATAGATTACCTCTTTCTGAACCATAACTTTTTTGCTCAGGACATTGCGTGATTGATTTGCCAAATTGGATGCCATTGCACTCCAAAATCCAGGCCTATTTCCCAAATGCAAAACATCACAACATAATAAGAATTTAAGATAGTGATGCCATGTTTGTTATTGGGTTAACTGCAATACATAGCAACATACTTCCATTGATTTGTTCATCATAGCATCCTACTTTTATGTCTTCATCTTACAACAATGTCATCCAAATACAAAAAAAATTTCAATCTTATAAATAGATAAAGTTTTTAAAGTATAATGTCCTACTAAGGAAAAATTTAAAAGTACGATGCTATGCTTGGTAGATTTTCAAAATGAAAAGAATTGGAAGTATAATACTGTAACAGAAAGAAATGAAAGCAGGGTGCTACACTATGTGAATAAATGTAAGTACAGTGCTATTTTTGCATCAACAAGAGCCAAAGGTTACTTTTTTTCTCCTCACCAATTGAATGACACCTCGGTGAGAGATGCAAGTATCACTCCCCCAACAATAGGTACAAGGGAGCTCATTACCCATGCTGTTGGTATCTGTTTAGTGGGATAAATAGGATTCAGTACATATATAATATATATGGGACAAGATATATTAATATACAACTTTTAAATGAAAATAAACAGCATCAAACGTGTAAACTGATTAAAAGAATAGACAAGAATGTATGGAAATAGATAGAAAGCAAACCTCTCCTAGAAACATAGTAGATAGTATAACCGTGAAAAAAGGCTCCATTGCTTTGATTGTGTGAGTAAATGAAACAGAAACTTTTCCAAGACTCATGTTGGTTGAAAAATTACCTAATGTGTGCATTACAGCCAATGGCAGGATTGCTACAAGCTGCTGGGTACAAGTAATTCAATTAGCATCAAGAAATATAAAATATATATGATCAATAATCAATTTCTTCATATGAATGGCATACCTGTGTACGACTGATATTCGGCCATTTATGAAGATTTAATGCCCATGTCAAAAATATAATGGTAGTCCCAACAGCAAGCTGAACTGCAGTCAAAGTTACTGGATTTGGGAAAACCTCAAGAACCTGTAAACATTGATCAGGGATGAATTGCCTTAATTCTTCAGACCAAAATATTTAGAGGAAGTAATGATAAATCCATTAAGAGACTAATTTGACAAGGGTATTGCTGATTAAATATTTTAATTGTTACTTGGCATCTCAAACTAAAATATTTTTCAAAGGTTAGTTAATATTCTCACTTTGGAATCTCATCGATTAAACTACTCTTATGTATCTGTTCATACCACTTCACTGTTTTATTATAATTTTGTGGGTCCATCATCATATCTACTCCGCTTAGATCAAGTTATTTTTGCTAGCACTATATCAATCATTCATGATCCAACAAAAAAATATGTTAGATTTAGATGATTTTTTTAAAGTCACGAAAAGAGTACATTAACTGATTCTACAGAGTTACTCCAAATTTTCTGAAAATAAATGATTCGGAACAAGTAGATCCTGGATCTTTAGAGGAAACGAGCGTGTAAATTAACAAAATCATTTCACGATTGGTTTATGATTAAATCGATTTTCACATGCATATATAACTATGTATACTCGTCCTCCATACATCAATTAAATACCAAATTCAGATGAAACATATAATGCTTCCTAGAAGAAGAAAACAAGCAAACCTGTTTATTATAGATGTTGAAATAGATATTGAAAAGGTACCAGACTCCGAACAACAATCCAAGCACTAGCGTTTCCGCCATTTTCGATTTCGCCACAGCCGCCGCATCACTTTCATCGGCGTTATCAGGAACGGACGTCGCTTTGACTTCAAAACCATCAGATGATTCACGCTTTATAACCGGTGAACGAGTCAAAGTCCAACCCCCTGGCTTCCATGATGAATGCGAGCAACATAATGAAGGCGACAAACGATCAGTTGAGTAAAAAGCTATCGACGATTCCGAATGAAATGGAAGAGAAATATGATCATATCTGTAAAACGAGCTGTGATTACGTCTACCGGAAAGCGAAACTGAACCGGAGCCGGTGAAGGCACCGTGAAGCATTGAGCGTGATGGATGCGGTGCCGAAGAACGGAAGAAGACCGTGTAAAGGAGGGAAAACGATTTTGCTTTCTGTTGTCCCTTTTCCTATTTATTGTAAGTAAAACTTAAACATGTTTATTAATAATCACGGTTTTAAAATTAAACTGTGCATTCACAATAATTCATCTACTGTATCGTATTTTTATCAATTACTACGTATTTTTAAATTTCTTATTAATAGTTATCTTTTTTAAAATAATTTATTTTATAAAGTTAACTAATTTATATATATATATATATATATATATATATATATATATATATATATATATGTCAAATATTTTAAAAAACTCTTTTATTTAATTTATCTTTTTTTAAATAAACGTTGAAAATATTTTTATTTGAAAAATATTTTATAAAACTCTTTTATTTTATTTATATTTTTTAAATAAACATTGAAACTATTTTTATTTGAAACAAAAAATATGTGGGGGCTTTACTTTTAAAGAAAAAATATACAAAAGTTATTTGTTATGCAATTTAAAAAATGTAAAATGTTAATATACGAACGCTATATATTTGATATTTAGAAAAATATATTATTTAATAGTTAATAAAATAATTTAATTAAAAGTATTTAATATTTAAATATAATTAAATATTATTAAATGAGGATTAATTTTATAGTTTTTTTTTCTAAAATTTAAAATAATATTAAAAATATTGTTTATCATGTTAAATCAAAACTAAGAAATTTATAAGATATATGATTATACAAAAAATTAATTGTTTTTAAACGTTTTATTTATAGATAAGTTAGTAAATTTTTGTAACCAGTTGAACATCAGAACATGACAGCCAAATTGGTATAAATTCCATTATGTTTCATATTTTCAATAAAACGAGTAATTATATTACATAAATTAGTTCTTAACCCCAATAATATAATACAATAATTATATATAAAATACTAAATAATCAAACAAAAAGTGATTCAGACAAACAAAATTGACCCAAGTTGTGTATCCGGTGTTAAAAATATTATTTATTTATTTATTTTGACTCACTATTTGACTCTTCCCAACCCATACGGTTTGCTATTAATAATTTTAAATTTTAATTCTCGGAAGATGGGTATTTTATTAGTAAATGGCTTTAATGGAATGTACAAACAAAAGTTATATTAAACTTTTGTCTTTAAACTTTTGGCATTTATTGTAGTTTACAACCCATGTTTATGGATATAGACCATTTATGAGTCCAGACACATAATATTGAGTTTGTTAATGGCGTTGTGTTTGGTATGGATCCACGTATTGGATGTATTTTATAATGTTGTTTTAATGCATTCGCTTTCATATTTTTGTGCATAAAAAGTTATATTATAATATATATGATGTAATATTATATCATTAACTCATGTGTTTTACTTTTAACAAAGAACTAAACATGCAATCATATATTTCGTTTACTACGTATGAAATTTTTCGTTTACTACGTATGAAATTATTGATACATGTTAAATGTAACTTGAATATTTGAAACATTTTGATAGAGCATTTGAGTTCAATGGAACATTTAAAACTCAATGGAGGATTTGGGAGTTCATGGAGCATGTGACTCGGCTAACAAAAATATATCATTGACAACTAACCAACATGTTACCAACTGAACCGAAAATGTTGGTAAGTTTGGTAGCTAACATGATTGGTCGGTAGTACCATACCAATTGAGTAATCATGGTATGATAGTGGTACAAATCTTTCAATACCACGGTAATACGGTACCAACCAATTCAATATATATATATATATATATATATATATATATATATATATATATATATATATATATATAATTTTAGGTATGTTTAGTGTTTAAGATTTTAAGAGCTTTGATATTAGCATTCACCGTATTAGTAAAGTTTAAATTTTGAATTCATGTTTGCATGTCCTATTTTCCTCCACTCTCATTTTAGAAATTAATAAAATCATTTTGGATCAAATTTTCAATCGTAACAATTACAAAACTTTTATTCACAAAACATTCATTCTCGTTTCACAATGCTCAATAAAATAGAAATCCTCATTTCAAAAACCATCATACATGTTGGTATATACAATTACCAACATATATCAGCCGAACTTATTGGTAGCTAAACACTAACTATACTTGGTACGGTAGTGTTAGAATTTTTTTTTTGTACCAACTATAATTGGTACAATACACGGTTTAGGAAAAAAATGACAGGTACCGTACCAATTCCACCATTACATGTGACAAAGAAACGGGTCATCTGAGAAGGGAATGGATCATCAGACAAATGAACAGATCAAGTGACGAGGAACGGATCAAAAGGCAACTTGGAGAAACTTGGAGCATCATGTTGCGCCATCCAAGTGGAAGTTGCCATCCAGAAACATGTTGCGCCAAATAGATTAAATTTGCGTCAATAGGATGGATGGCGCACCAATTGGGAGGATCTTGCGCCACTCTTGATTGATGTTGCGCCAAAGTGAAGATATTGCGCCATCCTTAGGTGCATGTTGCGCCAAATGGGAAGGTATTGTGCCTTCCTTGCATGAAGATGGGCCATCTTGGTTCCTTGATGAGCCATGATATCCCTGATGAGTCACGAAGTCCTCTATGATGCTCATAAGTTGGTGATGCTCAAGGAATACACCATGTTGTGCCACCATGATGGATGATGCGCCACTAGTGTTCATGATGTGTCACATGTGCAACATGATGATCCATTATGGCTCAAGGTGCTCCATCATGTGTGTTGTTAAAGCTCATGTGTTATGTGACATGGATGAATATTCCAAAAGTTGTTGCATGGTGAAATGTGATTGGTTGACACCTTTCGTTGACCTATGGCCCGATGGGCTTGGCCCATTAGGGTTTTATGTTTGATCCTCAAAGTATAAATAGTGATGCATGTTAAGTCATTTGTGTGTCTTGAATTCTAGAGTGATAGGCGAATCTCTGTGAATTTGTACTTGTAACATCTGTTTGAGAACTCTAAAATAAAGAATATCCCCCTCCTGTTCGTGGACGTAGGTCGCCTTGACTGGGCAGGCCAGAGCTTTCGAGCAAATTTAAAAATGTTTGCATCTGATTTTGGCTTGTCTAGTTGACCTCGAGTTTTTTCCACGACTTCTAATTAGACTAAAAACAAGTATTTAAGACCCAAAAAAGGCAACTTATTGTAACATCCATAAAAATCATGATAAATTTAAACTTTTTAAAACCAACCCAATTCACAAATTGATTACAACATAGTTTTCAAAAACATTTCAACATCAAATTTTTCCCAAAATCATAAGTCAACACATGAGGATGTGTACGATCATGTCTTCGCCTTCCCGCGGTCATCTGAAGTGCCTGAAACATAACCCAAAACTGTAAGCCAACGCTTAGTGAGTTCCCCCAAAGTACCAACACAAAAACAGATAACATATACAATAACAGCATGTTGGGTCCAATCAACCATCGGGTTGGAATACCCCAGACCCTTCAACCATCGGGTTGGAATGCATACACTATGGGTCCAGTCAACCATCGGGTTGGAATACCCCAGGCCCATTAACCATCGGGTTGGAATGCCAATACACAATGGGTCCTATCATCCTCATGATGGAATACCCTCGGGCCCACTCAACCATCAGGTTGGAATGCCCCGATCTGTTGGCTCACGCACAAAGCAGTAAAGCCTCAACCACCAACCAAATATATGCACATATACATAATAGATAAACATATAATCAGCCAACAGACAAACCGCAAATCTACTGATCGCTTAACACCCTGTTTATTTAATAAATAAATAAATTAATTAAAGAATGATTAGTAGCCCTAAAATCCATAATTTTAGTGGGAGAGTTGGTTTTCGGAAACCAAATGTTACAATTTTAGAAGTCACGGGTTAAAAGTGTAAGTTACGGATTAGTTTTGTAAGTATTTATGAAGGCAGGGACTAAATGGTAACTTCTGGGACTTCATTTGAAGAGATTTTGGGGCTAAGGGGTTGTTTGGTAAATTAGGGATCAGATTGAGAGGAAATCTGGAAGCAGGGGTGTAATTGGTAAATATTGTACCTAGATTGTAATGGATTATTAATGATGGGGTTAAAAGGGTAAAATATGGGATTAAGGTTGAAAGAAAAGGTTGTGGGGAAGGGTTGATCTTGACATTATGGCAATAAGATTGTTAGGGCACGGGTATATAACCCATACTAACCCTAACCCTAACAAAACCCTTCCAGCCGTCACCCCTTATGCCTCCCACCGGCCACAACCTCCTTCTTCACTTACGGCATCGCACCATCACCACCGTGGAGATCGGAACAACCGAGCCGCCGTTGTGCCACCCCATTGAAGACGAAGACCTCCATTTGATGCCATGGCAGCGAGAGATCGGAAGAAACCCACCTTGGAGCATCGTGGTCGCTATTTCCGGTGGAACCGTCACCCTCTTCGCGCTCTTCTGCTCCGCCATCTCCCCACTGTTGCTCAACCCACCGGTGATTCCGTCACCGACGAAGACTCGGATGAAGTAGAGATCGTCGGGGAGATCAACTTTGTAGCCGTTGTTGAGACTGTCGAAGGCGATGAGCCACTGCCACCCTCCTCTGTCGTTGCTGCTTCACTTCGCCTTTTTCTTCTCCCTCAGATCGTCAAAACGTCACCACCACAGTCATACCTTCTCGTCGTCGTTCTTGCCGATGTTGCTGCTGTCGCCATCTCGTGGTTGCTGCAGTCGCCACCCACCGCAGGTGGGTGTTGGGATTAGTTGTCCAAGCAAGAGGAGGTGTGTGTGTGTGTGTGTTTCTGCCACTAGAGTGAATACCATACGTCGTGGGTAGTGTGGCTTGGTCGGCGTTTACGAGAAAAGCCACCTCCGCCACCACATGTCACCGTCGGCCACCACAAGGGTGGTTACGTGTGTGTGTTTATTTTAGTGTAGTGTGTGTGTGTGTTATTTTGGGAATTCATTGTAAAAAATTTGTAAAAGCCAAAAGAATAATAAAAGAGACCCTAACCACCACCGTGAGGTGGTGGCTGTCGCCTCCTGCCACCACCGGCCGCCGTGTCGGGTG